AGGCTCTCAGAATCCTGTTGATGTTATACATCTCTAGGCATTCAATGATCCAAGTATGCGGCATTGAGTCATAGGCTTTCTTGTAATCGATCCAAGCCATGCACAGGTTGGTGTGTCGGGTTTTGCAGTCTCGGGCAACTGTGCGGTCTACGAGGAGTTGGTGTTTGGCTCCTCTGGTATTTACACCGATACCCTTCTGTGCCGTGCTCATGTGTTTATCCATGTGTTTGCTTATCTTGGCCGCTATGATGCCTGACATGAGCTTCCAGGTTGTGGAGAGGCAGGTTATTGGTCGGTAGTTGGGTGGGACTGGACCCTTTGATGGATCCTTCTGGATTAGGATTGTCCGCCCTTCAGTTAACCATTCAGGGAGAGTCCCACTTTGTAGCAGCTGGTTCATTTGGGCTGCCAGTTCGCTCATGGAGAGCAGTGAGTTTCTTTAGCCAGTAGGCATGGATCATGTCAGGCCCTGGTGCTGTCCAGTTTTTCATGCCTGAGACTCTTTCTTGAACATCTGTCGCAGTGATGGTTACCGGGGCTTGCTCAGGGAGGTTGCTGTGGTCCTCTCGTAGAGAGATCAGCCACTGTGCATTGCTGTTGTGGGACGCCTCCCTTTCCCATATGCCTTTCCAGTATTGTTCAGTCTCCAGCCTTGGTGGGTCTGCTCTGTTGTTATTACCCTGCCATTGAGAGTACACCTTAGCTGGTTGAGTGGAGAAGAGCCGGTTAATCCTTCTGGATTCATTCTCCCTTGTGTATCTCTTTAGGCGGCTGGACAAGGCTTGGAGCCTCTGTTGGCAGTTTTAAGTGCTTCAGGTATGGGCATCTGCCTGTACTTTCTGGGTACTGGTCTTTTCATTGTACCCTTGTGGAGCTCTGACAGTTGGCTCACTTCCCTCCTTGTTACCTTGATTTTAGCCTCTAACCATCTTTTCCATGGTGGGTATTGGGTCTCATGGTTGCTCTTATAGCCAAGTATCTCAAGGATCACTGATGCTGAGTTGTAGATCAGCTCATTGGTTTCTGTTATGGTGTTGGTAGGGATCGTTCTCAATGCTGCATTCACATTCTCAATGAGACTTTCTGATGGTACTTCACTCAGCCGTTGTAATTGGCGCCGGGGAGGCCTGGTTGTCATTCGGGTCATGATTCTCTCTCTCAGGTCAGCAGCTGTCTCGTTCAGCTCTGTTTCGCTCATTGGGGCCGTGTATCCCCTCACTGGGTGGGGACTTGTAGTTAAGTCCCCACAGTCCTGACATCCGGGTTCCTCCCTTTTGCCGTAGCATTTGTGTTGTATCTCGTCAATCTCAAGTTGTGATAGCAGTTGCCGTTTGCGGATGTTGGAACACTGAGCTACTAGTTGTTTAGCGCTTAGTGTTGACTGGGGATGTCGAAGTAACCATTCCTTCCCCAGTCTTTGCATGTAACCCCTCTGACTAGGGTTACTTGAGTAGTAGCATTCCAACAGATCCACGTTTTCATCTCTCGCCCATTTCCGTCTTGTTCCAGTAGCCCATTTGTCATCAAGGTGCTCTGGTTCCCCAACACCTGACGCAGACCTTGTTTGGCCGGGCGACGTCTGAGCCGGCATGTTATGCAACTTAGTATCTCTCATGGTATGAGGTAGGCAGTAGCTTGAAGGGTCTTGCCTAAGGACCCAGACTGGATTCGAACCCTGCCCTCTCGGGTGATATACTGATGCCTTATGTATTGAGCTATCCAGCTAGCTATATATATCTATATATCTATATATATATATATATATATCTATATATATATTATATATATATATATAGATATATATATATATATATAGATATATATATATATATAGATATATAGATATATATATATATATATTCATATTTCAGGAAACTGAAAGGTTTCACTGTGTATCATCAGCAAAGAGGTGGTGACTTGCTGTATGTTGTGTTGTTTAATGACAGCAGAGGTATATGAATCAATATATATATATATATGAATCAATATATATATATATATATATTTTATTCCTTCCATGTCCAGATCTTCGTATTAACTTCCAGTCATCCAGAACTGATTTTCAAACCATTTTTGTTCCTAAGCTAATAGCAAGACCTTCTGTAATTTGCCTTTGGGGAATATTTGGGCTCATAATTTAATCCTAATTGTTTTTTTTAATGGATTTTACAGTGAGAACAGAGGAAGGTTCATTACAGATTGATGAAACCCTCCTCATTTAATTACCACTAAATTTGAAGTTGAGCAAAACATCTGGTCTAATCCTGAAGGATGCTCTGTCATATGATGCGATCAGACTTCAAAGACGGACGATGACGACACGGCTCATTCAGCGTGCTGTTGCTGTGCTGCAGAGCTCCGCGGGGGCAGAGACAGTTTGCAAAGAGAAAGCAAACTTGACAGGAGAAGGAATGGAGGCTGGCAGGGGGAAAGGAGGGTGGTGGGTTGGCATTGGGGGAAATTCCTCCTTCATTCACCGCGTGCTTAAAAGAAAAAAAGAAAGAAGAAAGAAGCTCAGCTATGCGTTTGGGAAGCTCTCTGACCACATCACTGTCAGCTATTGTAATTCACCGACTAATACTGCAGCATGTGTGGCAGCAGACTGAGAGTAACCGATAAGACCCTGGCTGATGTAATGCCCTAGAAGCAGGCCAGGGGATTGGCCAGTTGATTACCTAAAGTTTGCTGTGATCTGCACCACAGGCTCTGATTACAGTGGCGCCTCAACCAGGAACAACCTGTGTCTGTTTATATATTTGCCCCCCTCCAAATCATCCCCCCCTTATACACAGAAAACAAAGCACCAGCCATCCGAGGAGTTCACTCAGCGTTCTCAAACTTTTTGAGAATGGGTGGAAAGCTCGTGCCACTTGGAGGTATCACTCAACTCTTCAGTCTTCCTGCGATTTGGCCACTTAGAGAAGGCTTATCCATTTGGAGTACTTCTGTGCTGCCAGGTCTCAGCGCACTTAGAACCAAAGCTGCACTGGCGTGCTCTGCATTGATTTGAGGCTTTTGAATGAAGGGATTGGATGAGACTTGAAGGTGTACACGGGGGAACGAGGCAGAGCCAAAAGTAGATTATATCAATTTCGTGATGTGAAAATGTCTCGCCAACAAAGAAAGAACAAGCCACACGTTGCTGTGCAGTCCAAGTGTCTTTGGAATATAAAAGTCTATAAAATATAGAGCTTAGCAAAAGTTTTCACATCTTTTTTTTAACACTTTATGTTACAACTGCAGATAACTAAATGTGATCTTTTAATTGCCAGAACTTTTAGACATATGTGTGTGAGGCATTGAATTAAGACTGGATGTCGCAGTGAACACACCGTCACCACAGTGAAACATTACTGTCACATATGACAGAGTGGAATTCAAAACTCTTGTTTACATTCAAGGTCATCCACAACCTCTCCCCTCATTACTCGTTTAATCTCAAATTCAATTCAAAAGTACTTTATTGATCCCAAAGAGAAATTGCATGTTGGTGTAGCTCAAGTCATTCAAGATTCCTCAAAGAGTTCTTGTAGATAGTATTGGTAAGAAGCCATTGACTGAAGACGCTGTTTTTTTATGATGGTCTTATGAAGAGGATGTCCGTAATTTTGTTGATTTTATGTAAAATCCTTCTTTGTATTGGCATATCCAGAAGTTCCATAGTCGTCCCCAGAATAGAAACAGCCTTCTTCATCAGGTTGATGAGCCTTTTTAAATCCTTAGTTTCAATGCTGGCAAAGAGTAATCCAATCAGTAGCCTAAAAACTCCTTTTTTTTTTTTTAAATCAATTGTCAGAACATCAATGCTCTTCCCCTGTTTAAATTCAGACTGAAAACCCATCTGTTCAAAACTGCCCATTTATTGTGATTCCCTTGTAGATACATAAGTGTTTACCTTCTTTGTAAAGTGACCTTATAATTTATTAACAAAGCATATTGATGCTTTATGAAGGACCAAAGTCCAGACCTAAATACAATGGCTAATGTGAGGCTTGAGTTGAAATTGTCACAGAGGTTCTCCATCTGACTGAGCTTGAGGTATTTTGCAAACCAAAAACATCAGTCTAAAGATGCACAAAGCTGGTTGCGTCATATCTGAAAGGACCTGCAACTGACTTGACTCAGACTTTTACTCTTCATTTAAAAGCCATGAATCATTTTCCTTCTACTTCACATTCTGCACACATTTGAATCCCCAAAACCAGCAAAAGTGACAAAATGTGAAAAAGATCAAGGGGCAGGTTTTAGCAGGTCAAATTTAAGACTCTTTAAGTCCTTTTAATGCCAGCTTGAATAAAATAAAATAAAAAAAACATAACTAAATATAGGGGGAGAATGGGGAATTTGGCTGGCTCATGTGGGCTGGCAGCAGAAGTGAATCAGTAATTTGCACTTACTTGTGAAAGATGCAATAAAGAAAGCTAGTTAGCAAGGGCACATTAGCAGCTAATTACTGACTGCACTGAGTCAAAGAATACCCTGAAGATTTCAGTGCACGCTCCAAACTGACAGAAAAGTCTCACAAGAAAAAAACAAACAAAACCCTACAAGATTAAGTTGATCAGCTACGACAAAATGTAAGACCTGTGATTAGCCAAACTTACTCCGACAAGAATTTAAGGCCTTACTTCCACGTACATCAATTTAAGGCTTTTTAAGGCCAAGGATGCGCCGACACCGTGGATTTGAATACTTTTGTAAGGTACGCTACATTGTTCAAACCAGCTGAATTTACACTATCATTTGTGAACACACACCCCCCCCCCACTCACACACACACACAAACACAATCACACACACAGGGGAAAAAAAACATCAAAAGCATCTGGTTTCTGAACAGGTTTCTTCCCTGAAGCACCAATTTTCCAGCTAAGTGGAGTGTTCTGAACCAACGGCCTTTTCCTGCCAGACAGCTAACACACATAACAAACATTCAGTGTTCACACTTCTCCCATCCTCTGTGCCTTAGCAAGATGCACGATAAAAACAGAGGAACTGAATAAGTTTCATTCTTTAATCAGCAGACAATGGCTGGTTCCAGGCCACTTCCTTCCCTCCAAGCATCTACGTTGAGGCTCCAGCTTCTGCTTCACCTTTGTTGGGCGAAAAGCTGAATATTTCCTTCACGAGGCTGGAGCAGTTGATGTTTTTCAGAGATGATCGACCACCAACAAACCTGGCGCTGACCTCATACTGGAAAGAACAGGAACACACGTCACTGACCGACACATAAACTGATGGGAGTATTTAGCTCATTTTCTCATTCTTTACATGCTCCATAAAGCTTCATGAACTTTATTTAAGCAAAAGAGCTTTGTGATTGGTCCTTTTTTTATCATCTGAAACTTAAAATAAAGCAAAACAAAAAAAAAATAACAACAAAAAACAGACTTATTGTTTAGATTTGACTGTTAGGACATAAAGTGCCTTGAAAAATGTTTCCACATCTTGATCATTTTATATTTCGTCACATTATAGCCAAGAACTTTAATGCTCTTTTTATTTATGGATTTTTAAATGGTTTTACTAATGTGGCCTCTGAAGCACCATGTTGATAACATACTCTCAGTTGGATTTTGGATGGGAGTTTGGCTACGTAATTTGAAAGCATCCCTTTTTCCAGATCCAAACCTTAGTTCTGGCTGCATGTTTGGGCCTGATCTGTTAACAATGCCTTTCCTCTTGAGTACTTTCATAAATTCTAGATTTTTGAGACCTCTTTGAAAATCACTTTGTTTTTGTAAATGGCCATTATTTGTGCAAGTTAAATCCCATTGGGAAAATAAATCCTCATTTTCAAGGGGCCTGAAACTGCCTAATTTAAATACTAAACATACCTTAATATAGAGCCAGCTTTGGTGACATATCCACTAAGGAAAAATGCTTTCATTAATGATAATTACAGTAAATAAAGAGGTAGACTTGTACATCAGTAGATGGGAACCGATGCATTGCAGGCTTAATACATCCTCAAGCCAATAACTCCATGCTGTTTCCAAGACGTCGGATGATTTAGGCCTATGAATCTTGTGTAAAGGGCAATGTTTGCAAAACCACCATTCATTCGGAAAAAAAATAGAAAAAAAAAATATTGTGGGCGCCCCCAAACATTGGAGGCCTGTGTTACTGCCCATTCTACCGTCTGACCCAGGTTCAGTCTAAGAGCACAAAGGAAAATAAATTTCCCAAATATTTCAACTTCCCAAGATGCATTTTCTTTTAGGCATGCCCTGTGAAAATCATTGAAAATCTGCGGATACTAATTGTCGTCTGGGTGGAGTCTACTGTACAATTCACCCCACCAAATTTACGTTTTTATTAGGTTTTTTTTAGAACTCCAGATTAAAAAAGAGCTGGGAGAGAGTGACCAGTCTGGGACAGAACGTAGCTGGAAACCGTGGCAGAGGGAGGATCGACTGCACCACTATTAACACTCACTCACCCACACACACACACACACACACACACACACACGCACACACACACACACACACTATACACACAGACTCATTCCACTCTCATTCCAAACATGCAAGGTTTCCCTTTGTTGTCATGCCCCGGCGCACATCTCTCCCGCTCACCTGTTTCTGCTTAGATCTGGCTGCAGCGGAGCATTCCAGATCAACGTTAAGCAGGAAGAGCAGCACATGCAAGGAGGAAGAACAAAGGCACGGCCGTGCTTTCTTCGTCTCTGTCAGTCCGCGCGTCACTCATTCTCAACTTCTGCTCCCAATCAATTGTCCTCTTGTTCACTTGACTGTTCCCTTCTACTCACTTAATTCCAACTTTGGCTCCCTTTTCCTCTGAGTCATCGCAGGCGGTGGGGGGTGGGAGGTGGAGGGAAGGGGGTAGCGTGGATTGATTTTCAATTAGGTCTCTTTAAAAATCTGGGCACACGCCTGGCGTCCTTATGATCGACTCTTGTTTTAAAGTTTCGCTTCGCTCCCGACTGTCTGTGTGAAGAAGCGTCGCCCTTTATCGCCTACCTTTAAAATGTCGTCGGTCGTCACTGCCGGCGCCGGGTGCTTCAGCCAGTTTAATCCAGCGACAAAGGCGTGGTAGTCGATCCCACCTCCATCTGTATACCTGCAGCAGACATGATTAGAAAGCATTTACATATTTTTCTGTGGTCTCCGTGATTAAACGGGTTTTAACTACGCCAAAAAATCTGGGCGAAGAAATAGAGTGGAGGCTTACTCTGTGAAGAGGGCTTCCTGCAGGCTCTCGGGGAGGGGAAGCATGAAGGCCTTACAGATGTTCCTCACCACTTCGGTTGGCAGACGTCCCGATCTAGAGAGGAATCGGCTCATTAGAATAAATTCTGATTTTAATGTGTGGAAATAATTCAAACCGAATCATCAGAAACGACGGGGGGAGACTGGGGAAAGATGAGACATTTTTTTCATGTTTAGGATCCCGACATCCAGCTGACTTTGTTTGATTTTGATCGTCAGCTTATACATCTGCATATCCAGGTCTGGAAAAAAACGAAGACACCACTGCACTGGACCCCATTAAAAATCTCATAGTTATTCAACCAAATATTGTTTTCTGAAGTCTATCAGTTTTAAATAAAAAAAATGTTTTGTTGTTTCTAGATAAATATGATATTGATTTCTTTGCATTGTTTGAGGTCTGCAAATGAATTTGAAATTTTTGCTTGGAATTTAAGAGACATATTGTCAGTAGTTCATAGAATCAAAGAACAATGTTCATTTTACTCAAACATACACCTATTAAGAGTAAAATCAAAGAAACTAATCATTTTTTTCCAGAGCTGGGTGTTGTGTATCCACTCAAACAATCAGAACAAGTATAAACAGAAATATTTTAATAATTTAGCATTTCCAAACAATGTTGTCTCGTGGCTCAACTTATGCCAAATTCAGACCGAATGAATTTCACAAATCAAAAAGTCTAAACACAATTCTTATGAAACGTATGAGAGACTAAATCCATGCTCACAATTAAAAACCATTTTTTAAAGAAAGAAGTTTAACCACTTTGCTCATGAGGTTCTTACATTCAAAAACTTCATTAAATGGTGCTTTCCTCCAAATTATTTGGTCACATGATCTATGTGGGTTTTTTTTTTTTTTTACCATTTTCTAGAAACAAGTGGTGGTTCAACTTATCCCAGTTAGTCCAAATATCTCTAACAGTTTGGCGACAGAAACCTTTTTGAATGTGAAATAAACCAGAGTGACTCGAAGAACAAGGAGATGAATCCGAGATTCAACTGTCCAACCAAAGGTCATCCTGAGATGAAAGGAAACACGGATAGGTCAGCATGTCGGAGAGCGGCGGCAGAACCTCCACGTCTGCCGACAACCGCTGGGATGACTGTCCACGCTGGAGGGGATTTCACATTAACATCTACAGCACACCCACTATTTTTTTTCCTCTTTTTTTAAATCCCTTCTGGAGAGAAAATTTATGCTAAAACAATTTACAGATATGTCCACTAGTGGTGAAAACAAAGCTATGAAGCAACGGGAACTGAAACTGATGTCAGGAGTTAAGCCTGAGTCAAAGTCTGACAGGAGATGAAGAGATCTATAAAAACTTCAAAATCATTTAGACTCACAGCTGTAACCTGAAAACTATGGCTGAGAACAGCCAATAAATACAGAACTGAAAGAAACCCACAGTCATTAAAGTGGATCTGTTGTAGTATGACTGTAAATCACCATGATCACGGATTCATACATGGAGGACTCTGGAGAAAAACAAACGAGTATTTGAATGTTTTCAGGAAATCAGAGATAAATATGGCCCACGCAGACATGAATTCTTTAAGAATACATTCGCCAAAGATTATGGTAATAATCAGAAAAACCCTCGTCACTCAGTTTGGTGATGCAGTTAATCGATAAAACGTATGAAGGGAAGGTACAAAGGCTTGTATAATCATGTTACACACAGTGACCTGGATGTAGACGAGTAAAGTGGAAACTTACTGACACTGCTAAAACAGTCAACCAATAGGAAAGTTCAATGTGTCAGAATTCATTTTACGGTACAAATAAAGAGAAAACAAAGCTATTTCACCAAAATGACAAGAGCAATGAGTGGACCAGTCCAAGGTAAACACTAACTCTAACTCAAAGAACACAGTACCTGACTTTTCTGGGCTTTTTTTTCTGAATCAGCAGGTAGAAAACATATTGAATACAACAATGTTTTTATTTGTTTCAATATTTCTAATGGGCTCATTAACATGAAATGGCAACAACCCCAGTAATTCATGCATACAAAGAAATCAAAACAAGCTCTAACTCTAACAGATGAAGGCAAGGAAGCTGATAAAGAAATAGAAAATAAAATAGATGTGGACAAATCAGAGATGTGCTCATCTGTGACAAAGAAGATGTTGTAAAAAACATCTTCTTTCAAGTCCAAATCGAACCTGAAGTCAGTGTGCATGCCGCTTTAGTGACTCGAGTACGAGTCCAAACGAGACCCCTGATCTCTGGCGTGAATGCGCTTCTTTATGGTCTTGCGCTTTAAACATCTGGGTTAAATCTGAGCCCAGTCTTAACCTGGAACAGGTTTTGTGTTCAGCATCAGCTGTTGCAGTGATGGGGTCGGATTAGAGTGAAGCGCATCCAGGACATGGAAAAACCCCTGCTTTCTGTCTCCACACACATCCCAGGCTCTCCTTCGCTCTGAGACAGAATATCTTTTCAATAAGGACTGACACAGAGTCACGAAGCCTGCTTTCTCATGATGACATTGTGTAAAGTATTCAGACTGTGTGTGTGTGTGTGTGTTGTACAGGCTGCTTGTTGTTTTCCACAGTGATGCAGGGTACTCCATTCTTGTCATGCTATTTTCATGTCAGGAACGCTGATGAACAATGCGACACTGTGAGGGAGAGAGGAGCTGGTTCTACAGAACAAGGCTTTAAGTGAGTTACTAAAGGTCACACCATGCTACTGATTATCAGGGCCATACTAAAGACGAATAAAAATAAAATTACCAGAATAATGTCATAATACAGCGAGAATAAAGTCGTAATCTTACAAGAAAATAGTCACAATACCAAAGGAATAGTAAAAATATTGCAAGACTTAAGATACAATATTGCGAGAATAAAGTTGTACAAGAATAAAATTGAAATACGAGAAAGAAGTCATAATATTTTGACAATAAAGTCATAATACTGCAAGTACAAAAGATCATTCTTGCAGTATGGCCATTTATGAGGAAGCCTTGTTGCTGAAAATGTGCTGTATAAATAAAATACCTTACCGTTCTCATAAATAAAGTCACAGAATGACTTTATTCTAGTACTTTTTTTTTTTTTTTTTATCGTGGCCTAATACTCCATCGTACTCTCCATCCTCATGGTTTTGTGCAGAAATGGAAAGGCCAGTCTAAATGACACATACATGTCACTTAGTCTGGCCGATAGAGTCCATCTGCTTCCATTAACCCTCCTTACATTTCTGGAACTAATTGTCGCCCTGACATGTGAGGCCACCAGCTGCGCCTCTGAAGTCTAGCAAGATCTGCCTGCGTGTTGCTACGGCATTTTTAGTCTGACAGAATGCGCGTGCTGCTTACTTTTGCCTGTCAGTGTGCACAAATCTGGCAGAAAGCAGATCGTAGTCCTCAAAATGGTTCCTCCTCAGGTAGTGCTGCGCCACAGCCAGCACCTGCGTCACGTCCTCTTTAGGCACCGGGTGCTGCGTGAAGCGCCGGGCCAGGACCAGAACCTCGTGCTCTGTCAGGCCGCATTTCAGGCCCATCATCAGGTCTCTGCGGTGGCACAAACACACATGAAGAGAACGTGACCGTCACAAATCTAGAGAAGAAATCTTTTTTGAAGGACAACTTTGTTTACAGAGACTTCAGGATCCATTTTATTTGTTGTTTTGGTTGCTTGGTTTATTTATTTTTTTTATATTTGATATCTTCCAGTTCTAGTATAGAATGTTGTTTAGAAATTAAAGTTATTTTATCTTTGAGGTATGTTCTATTGTCTCAAAGCAATGATATTGTCATTTATTGAAATTGGGGCTGGACCAAATGGCTGAAAAACATATCATGATATAAGGATTTTATATTAGTCGATAGATATTGATTAGTGTTTTCAATATTTGGCATACTGCCAAATATTTTACCTTTTTGGTGAAATATTTGGCCTTTTATCACGCTGTTTTATCCAGTTTTCACTCCATGCTGTTTCTTTATTATTATTTTTAAGCAGTTTTGAGGCACCGCAGCAAAACCTGAAACTACTACTGCGCAAGTTCTCAACAGGTTGTTGCTAGGTAACCATAAAGCGAGTGAGTTAGAAGATGCTGCCTAACTTGCTGCTTGTGAGAAGTTGAGCAGCTAAAGCCTACATCCTCTTGCCTACATCCTTCAGAATGCTGTATGATTCTGGATCATAGTTCAGTGAATTTATTTAATATTGTAGCCATAGTGACCGAGTGTCTGCAGTGTTGGAGAACGTCTGACTGACAGATGAAGTTCAGAGGCTACCGACTCCACTGGAAGTCGATCCACTTTGTGTTTGAACGTGGCTTACCACCCCATGGTGGAGTAGCTGTCGTTCCCAGTCACTTCCACCTATTTCAGGGTTTCAAGCGTTGTGCTTCTCACACTGCATATGGCTCTCTACGGCCTTAAACCAAGTAGTGCCAAACTTATTAGCACAGAATGAATGTAGCATCCTATGGGCCGGCAATAGAAGTCAGCTAATGGCGAAAACAAACGTAGCTTAGCCATCTGGTGATAAAATTGCACTTACTCATGACAGAGATAAAAAAGCTACATAAGCAAGCTGTTTTGCTTGTCAGCTTGCTTGATAGCTATCAAACAAGCATGAGCAACAAACCCTCGTTTCGTCTTTCACAAATGTTTGTAGAAACGGTCTGCTGGGCTCAAGGATCAATGAAAGTCTTTGGAATATTTGAATTCAATGATTTGGAGGGTGAGATAATATTTCTAGCAATATAGGATAGAAAACGTTACTTTTATGACTGCAACCAATGATTAGTTCAATATTTTATTATTATTCTATCAAATATTCTGACAATCAATCAATCTTTCTGGAGATTTTTTTTAGTTAACCACTTAAGAGTTTTTTTTTTAAATCCAATATTAGAAATACATTAAAAGATGTAATACTCTGAGAAAGGATGTGGCATTTCTAGAGTTATTTTCCACTCACACACAGATGAGCTAGACCAATCAACTAAAACTGTTGAAATATAATAAAACTATCCCTCATTCATTTTAATAACTGTACCTGAAGGACTCAAAGTGGACGAAGCCACCGTTGATGGGCTCATTGAGGGACAGGAACGTCTTGACCTCATTCTGTTTGTCCTCGGATATGGAGCGCAGTTTATTGAAGATAGTGCCTATGTTGGTTATGGGAAACTTAAAAAAAAAAAACAGAAACCAAGGTTATTATAGTTAACTACAACTAAGGAAATACTGTAACTAAAACTGAAATTGAGAAAAAGTTTTTGTTAATTTAAAGAAATAAAATGAAAAAAAAACTACAACTAACGATGATGTAGTCATCATGCGTTTATAAAACTAACTAAAGCATATTGAAAGTAGAAATATATTCTTTGTTTTTATGTTTTTTCATCTATTTATTGGCCTTTCAAAGTGATGTGACATGATTTGTTTTTGGTTGAGTCAGTGGTTGGTCATCAATAACTGAATACATTTTTTTCAAAATGGTAACTTCTGGTGAGCACTCATTACATAATTGATGTAAATATAATAACAAGACTATACATTTTGAATTACTCGTCTAAATATTTATCAGAATATAAAAAAGACTACAACTTTAATAAAAACTAAACTGAACAATATTCAACTCATAATAATAAAAAAAGCTCTATAAACTGACAACTAACTGAAGTACACAAAAAACCCCAACAAAATAAGACTGAACTATAGTGAAAATCCTGACATGCTCTTCAAGCAAGCATACCTCATCTGAATGCAGCTCCATGTAGCCGAGTGTGTAATCGTCGGCGTCCACAAGCTGGAAGTGCACTCCGTTCACGCAGATGCACCCTCCGACATAGAGATCCGGTGCCGTGAAGTATTCAGACAGCTCGCTCTTGAACACCTCCTGGCCCGGTTTCTTAACCCGCTGGCGCTCCAGGAACTTTCCTCCAATTACACCTGGAGCAAGATGAACGACATTTATTTCTGTTTTCCCAGAGGACCACTGATTTTTATATGATTATTGGCCTGATGTTTCTTTTTATATCGCATTAGCAGCCTGATGTTTTTTTGTTTTTTGTGTTTTTCGTTTTTATTTTTTTTTATCTCAAAATCAAATAAAAATTCCCCTCGTAATATTCAGCTTTTAAATTCTTGGCTCTTGTTCCAAACCCACAGCGCAGCATTTGTTTCGCACTGTAAAAATACTAATGGAGAAAACAATAAGGGATATCGCTGGAAACCAACACACTGCAAAAATGCTAAGTCTTACCGGGTATTTTTCTACTTTATTTGGTCTTTATTTGATATTCCTGTTAAGAGGGTAATGAGAAAGGGGGAAGACATGCGGCAAAGGTCACCAGGCCAGGAATTGAACCTACGACAGCCACATCGAGGCCTCCATATGTGGATTGTGCTTAACCCCTGCGACACCACAGCACACCCATTTTTAGTCTACTTTTCAGTGCAAATATCTTATCACATTTGAAATAAGTCCACTTATAAATAACTTTTCAGCAAGATATAAGAGAATCTTTTTAGTCAATAAATCCTTAATATAGATGAAAAAGAACTTGATCCATTGGCAGATCATTTAATTTGTAACATGAGAAAAATAATGTCTGGTTATAATCCGCCAGTGGATCTAGTACTTTTATATCAACATTAAGGAATAGTGTACTTCAATCAAGCTCTTATATTGTGCTAAAAAGTTAGCTTTGTCTTACTTCAAGTATACTAGGACATTTTGCTAAATGAACTAGGCCATAATTACTTGGTAAGATTTGCGTTTTTGCAATGAATTGTCAGTTTCTACAGTATTCTGGAGCTGGAGGTGGAGTCTGAGACCTTAGCATTTACCAGGAGAGGTAAAGATTTGCATTGACAGGCCGGGGGGCAATTCTGGAGCCGAGCGCCCCTACCTGAGTTCCTCTGCTGATGTTCGAACACACTCATGGAGTCATCAGCCAGGTAGTAGCAAATGAGGAACACCCGCTCTCTGTGCACTGGATCCACGGTCATCATTCTGGCTTTGAATCTCAGCACGTTACTGTTCAGGCCATTGCTACAGTGACAGAAAAATCACAGGGTTTTAATTGTTCCTGTCAGACTTTTGCACATTTTATCCCTTTACAACCACAACCTTCACTCTATTTTATTGGGATATTATTGGATAGACCAACACAATTTATCAAGTAGAATGAAAATTACACTGCAAAAACATATTTTGTGAAGTAATTTTGGTGTTTTTTCTATGTTAAATTTCTTAATTTAACATAAAAATTACTAGGTAGTATAATCAATAATAATACCTTATTATTAATTATTTTAAAAAGCACTAAGAGTAATTCCACTGGCAAAATCTTTCACTTATAACATGGTAAAAAATTCTTCTTGATAGGGGTGGGCGATATGGACTTAAAGTTTAACACAGTATGTTTGTGGTGCTATTGTGATCACAATAAAAGTGAAAAAAGAAAGAGAACATATTACTTCTTTTGAAGGTAACTTCACGATCGCTATGACTGCATGGCACAGCAATTGTAGCTCCGCAAACACAAATACGATGTAATTTGCTTTTTTGAGACACAGATCACATGAAGAAGTGTGATTTGTATCATTGAGCTGCACATTGTAAGTGTATTTAATAATTATAATAATAATACTTTACTGATCCCCTAAGGGGGAATTCTGTTTGTCCCAGCATAGTACACAATAAAAAATTTCAATAAATTGAGAACATACAACAATAACAAATAGCAATGAGTAGTGACAGTCCTAAGGTCACACACATTGCTCAGTACATTACTAAATATGTATTTAACATTTAAGCTCTAGAGACTGTGTATGTATTATTAAGTCTGATAGCCTTTTCAAATGTATATTTTAATTCATAATATTTTATTGATACTTTCAATGACAATAAACTGTGCAGAAAATACTGCAGTAAAACTAAAAATCCCAAAAATACAAAACAGTTTTGGGAGGTTTTAAACATCATTCATTGTCATTTTTCATAACAATAGATCAAAATCCTTATCACAATAACAATGAAATCACAAGAAATGATCAACAAGATAATAAATACCCATTCCTACTTGTTATAAGTGAAATAATCTGCCAGTTGAACTAGTAATTGTTTTAAAACAATTTTAAAGGAATTATTGACTTTAAGCAAACTTCTATATCTTGTTGAAAAGTCACTTTTAAGCTAGTTTTGTCTAAGTACTACTTGGTAAAATTTGACATTTTGCATTACAACAATAAACCCCTAATAAAATACAAAGATTTGCTTCTCTAGTGTGACAAAATGTGAAAAAGTACAAGGGGATGTGCACCCTTTTGCAAAGCAAACACTTCACTGTTTCATTTCACTGCTACTTTTTGAATCATCCAAACCTGTCTTTCTCTATGAACTTTCGGAAGTCCTTGTGAATGGGTATAGGCAGCAGACCCTTGCAGTTGGCCAACGAGTCCTCCTCGGAGCCAAAGCCATTGTAGGGGGGCACTGGCTTCGGCGGTTTGGGGGCTGGTGGAGCTTTGTATTGGACTGGGGTGAAATCCTCTGAGAGGAAGGAGCAGAGAAAGACACACACAAAGAGAGAGAGAGGAAAGACAAAACAGTTTGAAAGAATTAAGAAACCTTGGAAGAGAGCTGAAACAACCCAGGGGGAAGCAGGTAATCCATCCCTGATCTGACCTATGACTGCTTGGAGTCAGACAGGACCCTCCATCACAGGGGCCTGTCTGTAGGGGCTGCCCTCGCCTTTTACCACTGTGACTAATCCAGAACCTGGATGTAGTGGCAGCTACATCCAGGAAAAGCTTGGTTTTCCACTGCAGGGACCCCCGTATGGCCTGCTGCGGCTTTAACTCCTAGACGTAGGGGCCCCGGGTTTCTCCGAGGTGCAGAACTCTTTCGACATGTCGAAAGTGTTTCGACCGGTGAGCAACAGGCAGAACGAATAACATATGTGCTCCCCCCCTTTTCCCCTGCTTCCTTTACGAACATAGCCCGTGACACTGATTTCAGGAAAGAATCAAGAGGTATGGAATAGTAGATGTTGCAAATGCTTGCACTCACTGCCCTCAAGTGGTCAGACTTAGGTAATGCAGCAGAAAGCAGGAGATCAAGTAAAATATCTACAAACAACCCAATAAGGCAGTTGTTTTCTCAACAAAACAACAGCAATTCCTTACTTGTGCCGTATTTGAAGCGGTAGTACGCTTTGGTGAATTCATCACAGTCGGTGATGAGAACTCGTCTTCCCCAGATGTTTATTTCTTTGCCTATAGCCAGGTCGGAGTCTTTGTAGAACTCGTCAGTGGCAGCTCCAATCTGCAAGAGAGCGAGAGAAAACAGGATGGCAGCAGTTTGCATTTCTCAAAAGACGGCTGTGACATTACTGTAACCTCCACTTCACAAGTCTGTTTTACTGCCCAAACAAACCACTTGTTAATCCCCAGTGGTGGACAAAGTTTTGATACTCATGGTCAAATCTCACTCAACTACAAGTACAAGTTGCTCAATCGAAAATATACTCAAGTTAAAGTATATTTAACTTCAGTTAAATATATTCAAGTTGAAGAAATTACTTTTCAAAATACGTAAGTATTCAAAAGTACGAATTTAAATTTCTAATAACTGGACACTGCTGTGTTGTTTTCCGGGTGCTTTTGCAGAGCCTTATAACTTGCTTAAAACCCCAAAACAACAACAACAACAAAAAAAAAACAGGAAAGGTCTTTTTTCTCCCAACAAAGAGCAATATCGCTAACAATAATTAACGCTGCACTTAACATGAAAGTTTGCAAACTTTTATTTTATTTTAGCTCCAAACATGGAGCTAAAATAAGTGAAATAATCTGCCAGTTGAACTAGTAATTTTTTTAAACAATTTTAAAGGAATTATTGACTTTAAGCAAACTTCTATATCTTGTTGAAAAGTCACTTTTAAGCTAGTTTTGTCTTACTTCTACTGTACAAAGATATTTCCACCAGAAACTTAAGACTAAAAGTACTTAGTAAAGTACTTTTAGTACTTTTAGCTCCAAACATGGAGCTAAAATATACCCATGGGTGCTGGTTTCTCCACTTTAGTTTCTCCAACCGTCTCTATTGCCAAGAATGAAAGTGAGATTTCAGCTCGTGTTACCAAATTCTAAATACAAGGTAAGAGCGGCGACAGTGATTGGTTCCCCTTCATGTGAGGAGCATAGCGCATAGCCAATTGCATTTTAGCAAAGAAAAACAGCAACACAGGAGTACAAAACTATGCTAAGCCAAGCAGTAGGACGATCTTCCTAGAGATGTAGTGGAGTCGAAATTAGGCCTACATCAAAAAGCATTAAGTCAATTCATTGCATGATAAATTCAGATGAACTAAATAATTTTCTCTTTTCTCTCTTTCTACCAAAAACAAACATGTTCAGTCTCGTGCACTGGTCTCAACAAGTCCCTTTTCTTGAAGGACATTTTCTTTTTTCATAATTTATTTTATTTGTTGTTTGTGTTGTCGTTTATTTATTTTGGATATTAAAAATGTATACCAGTTTTATTGTGAAATGTTCATTATAAATTAAAGTTTATTGATCTTTGACCATGTGTTTTTGTAATATTATGCCATTGCCAATCAATTAAATGGTCTCAAAGCAAAAATATTATTGTTTGTCGCAATAATCTCTGGGACAATTTCTTGTCAAACAAAATGTCTTATTCTGACAGCAATAGTTGAAAGTCATAAGTTCCCCGAGAAAAAAAAAATACTCAAAGTAAAAATACCCAAAAAACTGTACTTAAGTGAATGTACCCTGTTACAGTCCACCACTGCTAACCCCTTTCCAACGTTAGGCATTGAGTTTCCCTGCTACTGAGACTGGACGTACGTCACAACTGTCCAGTACGACGTGCTTTCCTTCATTCATGGAGCCAAACACGTTGAGGACGGTCCGGTTAGTGACCGCTCCAGGGGGCTTCATCTGCACTGGAGCTTTCTGCAGAGAAACCCAGACACACACACATCAGAGACAAAAAAAAGAAAGAGTTAACACAACAGATGTAAGAAGCTTTCTCCATAGATACGGAGAGACGCAGGAAGAAGAATAGATCTGGAGGTGGCAGAGAGTGGAATTTCCTTGATGGAGAATCCTGCTTATCCCTTTAAGGCTGACTTTTACAAAAAGGCATGGAAACAAAATGAGTGTCAACACACACACACATAAGTACAGTCACAATCAAGATTGAGGAATGGCTGCATTTCAAAATGAATTAGGCTTCAGCGAGAGAGTGCAGGAGAAGCCAGAATGCTTGAGGGAGGCTGGGAGTCCTGTCAATGTGGATGAGTTTTTATTGAAAACCGGAACGTTGAGGGGCTCTTTAATTGCCCTTTAACTTTTATAATCTTTTTAACTTTTCCCTCTTAAAACAGTCTTCTCTACATTTTGATGTACTGAAAAGGTCTTTCACTCAGGAGGAACTTTGTAACCCATGTCTTGGGTACGTGGACGGTTGTGGTCAGAGGTGGGCAGCCAAAAATTCTACTCTAATAAAAGTAGAACTATACTGCTCAAAAAAATAAAGGGAACACTCAAACAACACAATATAACTCCAAGTAAATCAAACTTCTGTGAAATCAAACTGTCCACTTAGAAAGTAACACTGATTGACAATCAATATAACCTGCTGTTGTGCAAATGGAATAGACAACAGGTGGAAATTATTTTCATATTTATTTCATTCATTCAGATCTAGGATGTGTTATTTGAGTGTTCCCTTTATTTTTTGAGCAGTGCACTTCAACATAGTTTTATTCAAGTAAAAGTAAAAAGTTACTGTCTAAGAAATTATTCAATTAAGAGTAAAATGTGTCTGGTTAAAAGGACATTAAAAACAATCTGCCTGTCTTTGTCTTCTTCTTTGTGGTCTACACCAGTGGCAACATTCAGTGTTTGATCATGTGACTCGTGGAATGTAAAAAAGTGCATGACTGATTTCGTTTGCCCTCACCTTAGGTAGTTTGCAGCGGCGCAAGAATTTAGGGACGTGTACTCTTCCGGAGTTTGGCGGGATCACCTCGATGACCTCAATGGTGTCATCAGCCAGGTAGTAGTGGAGCACGAGTTCCCGCTGATCCCCGAACAAGTTGTCTGTGTCGTCCCAGAGGCAGTAGAAGCGCAGAGTTTTACCGTCATTCTCCAGGAACTGCTTGAGCGGGTGCAGTCTTTCGTACGGACGAAGAGGATTCATGCTCGCCTCGTGCTAAAAGGGGGATGAGTGCACATAAATAAAACATCAGGGAGTATGGTGAAAATGCTATAGAAAGACCAGTGCTAATTTCTTTCTCGCTGTGTGGAGAGGCACAAACGAGCTAAGTCACTGTTTAGGCTGCCCGGGCCTCCTGGAGGCAGCCAACAATGCCAACAATAGTTTCTTTTTTGAACAAACTAAACAAAAATATCAACAAAAAAGGTGTTTGTTTTTGTTTGTTTTTTTTCAGCTGAGCAAGAAGTTAGAACACCTCCTTTGTTTCCCCCCTTTGGTTTAAATACATTTAGTAAGATACTTCTTGTAGCATCCACCAATCTCTGACACTGGTCACTTTCAGCAGTTAGACGTTTTCTGCATGTCACGATAACAAATCTTCCTGGATGATAAATTGTCAGAGTAATCATAAGTTATTTTGAAACCATTTTCAAAATAACAATATGCTATTATGTGAATAATGGCATATTACTACAAATTTGCTCCGTCACGGCAATCCATTTTCTAACACACTGATCCCACCGGAGTCTCTCTCAAGGCTAACAACCTTTAATTTGGTAAAACAAAACTATCGAAAAATGTAAAAATCATATGTTTTTTTGATTGTCAGTACACACTGATATGCATTGAAACTGGAAGATATTTGAAATATTCAGAATAAAACGCAACAACCATAAAACAAAAATAAAAACCACACACAACTAAAACAAGGACTGCTTCAACATAAAAATTTGGATCAATATCCGATATAAATATTGCTGTTCCAGCCAATTACCCGTATTGGATATATTACTAATATGTGTCTAGTCTTACTCTTGGAAAGAAAGGGTATGACACACTTATGTATAATTTTATCTAATTTGGGTGAGAGTAGAGCAGGAGGTGTCCTAAGTATTCTTCTTCTTCAGTTTTTGTTTTTTAATTCTCATTTGTTACTAGAATTTCTCAGTAGTGATAGAACTGATTGTACACAAATTTGTATGTCAAAATAGGGGAGAAGAGAGTCCTAATTTGATCATATGAGTGAACGAGCTCTGGTGTCTACCTGTTTGCGGAGGTTGGTGTAAGGGTCCTCCGGCGCCGTGCCTGGCTCGTTCAGCGTTATTCCGACTTTAGAGAGGAAGTTCTTTGTGAACAAGTCACAGTCGGTCACTGTGAACGTGCGAGAGTAAAACACTATGTCTTTGTTGATGTTGAAATGGAAAACGTTGTAGAACTGGTCGTCGTTGGGTGGAGGCAGAGGGATGCGGTGCCGATGGATGAGCGTTCCTGCCACAGGGATGACCAGCGTTAGTCGCCGTTTGACTCTCATACCTGTGATCCTCTTCTACAGCTGGAGCATGGAAGGTGAGGAAAGCACATGGTTTCTGGGGTAGTTTCAGATGTGTCAGAGGCACCTTGAGGGAGGCCGCTGTTCTTGAATCTCGGCTCTATCACCTGGATGGTGTCATCCTCCAAGTAGAAGAAGATCTTGCACTTTCTGATTCTGTGTGTCTCGACCTTTGCGTCATATTCAATTTCCTTGAAGTAAGCTTCAAAACAAAGAGTCTGGATGGAGAAACTGCCGTTAATTACACCGTAGTTCTGCTGCTTAGTTGCAGGTGACGCAGTAAATTCATTTGAAAGAAAGTGCCTCGCAAAAGTATTCACAACCCAGAGCGTTATTCAGAGAAGCAGACAAGTGACTGATGGGAACCGTCTGGAAGTCATCGCATGACGCAAAAAAAAGGAAAAATAAATAAAATAATTTGAATATGTTAAAATATTTCCTTTTATCTGCTCCATTGAACGTTTACTGTTCAAAGTTGTAAATGAATCTGTAACTCACTAGCTGCTTTTCCATTACTGTCGTGCGTGAAACTTTGCCAATTTTTCGCAAATGTCAAAAAACTATTTGGCAATTGTGATTTTTCCATGAAGTCACAAACACAATTAAAATCACCACCTCCTCATGTTTTAAGTCATGCATAATCCCATTGAAGTTCATAGAGATTTCTGATTGTGTTGTGACAAAATGTGAACATTCGCAAGGGGTATGAAAACATCTGCAAGGCTCTGTGTGAAGATATCCATAGCAATGAGCAAATCATTGACTTGATTTGGTGAAAGGTGTTAGAAAAAAAAGTACTATTAGCCATATGTATTTGTATTCATAACAGAGGAACTGAGTCCAGTCAGTTTCACCTGTTTGTCAAAAGCCACCCATGCAGGCAGATCACTGCCGTCTCCTTTGGGATAGACAGTATATTTTGATGTTTTCTTCTGGCCGAGTAAAGGCTCTCCTCCGATACCCGGCTTCTCCAGGTCCACCACCATACCTCCTGCACTGTGAACCATGAAATGCTGGGATTTGTGAAATCTCTCCTTCCCTACCTGTGGCACAGAGGAGACATAGCCTTCACTTTCAAGGTGAAAGCTGTCAAAAAATGTTGTTTTTTTCTCTCGCTTTTTTACCATCAGTACACACTGATGTAAGGATGTCCTGAGAACCCACATGTACAGTTCTTCATTTCAAATGGCTTCTTAAAGGGACAGTATCATGTGTTTTCCAGACGCACTGTGTAATTTTATAGCACAATCAAGTAACTATACATCTTACCTTCATTCGTTGATGTATATATGAAAAAAAAAATATGACATCGCATATTTCTTTACGTATGACTTTTTTATTTTGGAAAAATTCGGGTGAAATTCTAAAATACTTGATTCATCCTAAAGAGAAGTTACATTTTGTCACATCTTCAGAGTGGCGGTGGACGGTGACAATACTGGAGACAATAAACGTCGCTTGCTGCGGAAGTGACGCAACGTTAGAACGCTGGGGCCCCGAACATGAAAGAATTTTGAAAATAGCGCCTCGCAGATAAATGAGGTCATTTGACCTGAACGGTTGCCATGGTTACGCCTTAACAACTGTCCGAAAAATTTGAAAGTGAGAGCAGAAATCATTGCTGCTCTCACTTTCCACCGCATCCATCACCAGAGGGAGTAGCTACCCACACACGCAACGACTCAACCAGAACGACTGTGGACTAAAATCTACAAAAGAAACAAATAACGTCGCTTCAGCGTGACGTAGTTCTAGAAAAAACAACCTAACATAGCCTAGCTTAGGCCCGTTAGCCTGTTAGCTAAATGCTTCACTGAACTCTTACCTGGGGACTGGGTGTGTTTCCGGGCATAAGTGGCAGAGCCATTCTGAAAAAGAAAAAAGAAAACTTCACCGTATCGACTACTCTAAGGTTGCGAATGGTGTGGGTTGCCAAGGAGACGCTTTTTGTTTGGAGCGTCTCCTAGCAACGCGAGGGAGGAAAATATGGCGAAACGCCAACCTTTAAAATGAAAACAAACCAAACAACAACAACAACAAAAAAACATCAGGCAATGTCACAGTGAATTATTTGGATGTTGGGGTTTACATACAGTTCGTTAGGGTTGGGCATGCATTTATTGTGACAAATAAATTATAAGAAATCTCAATTATTGTTATGACCATGAAGTCCATTTAATGATGTTTTAAAAACAGTCCATATTGTCAGGATTGTTCATTTTACTTTACACCCCTCACTGATCAATGAGAGCATCTTAACACAAGAACTCTGGTTTATTGTCAAAAATTCATTATTTTGACAACAATTATTAAACCTTGAATTCATTTCATCCACCTCTACAGTCAATAAAACATAACCTATGTTGTGACTGTACTATTCATAGTTGGCCAATGAAAAGGACATTTACTTTGTCCTCCACTTTTAAATCAGTAAAAAAAAAAGACAAATGCAAACATTTGACATAATTATATTTATTTTCTTGAAGAGTAAGCTATCCACAGTCTCCCAGTACCATCATTATAGACATTATTTCCACACTCAACAATACATACATAATTATATATATATAAAAAGGAGATGCTAGTGTGGCAGATGTAACCCATTTCACACCTCTGAAGAAGGCAATGCAATTTCCACATCCGTCAGCACTTAACAGTAACGTTCAAGACTTTATCATCAAGATTGTTATGTTCGGATTTGAAAATTACAACATTAGCATTGATTGGAAACTCAATGTGAATTTTTCCTTTTTTTTTTAAAAAAAAAAAAGATAATTAGCCACCCAATGTCTGGCATAAATAGTGCATGTGTTTTCCTTCTGGAACAAATTCAGTTTGGTTCAAATAAATAGAAAATAACATTTAGAAATCCTCCATGTTCTTCAGCTTTAAGCCTAAGCATGCTGCACACCGTAAAAGGTCATATTGAGCCCGATATGAAGCCTGACTTTCCCACTGACAGCATATGGATGTGGTTGTACAGTTTCAGAGACAAAATGGTGTGCAGTTTAAAAAAGAAACGTCTATCTGGAAGTGTAACTGAAACTGGCTGGCGAAAAATATTCAGAATCCCTGCAATAATGATCAACCTTGACTTTGTCACGACAGAGGGACGCAGACTCTTCTGCTTTGGCACACCCTAAGACGCCAGACCGAGCAGGAACCCTCCCACGAAACTGCCGGTGACCACAATGTTCTTCTTCACGAACTCTGTGGACTGAAAAGACACGGAAATGATGTCTCAGGTCAAAATCAGCTTCAAGATTTAGTGGTGACAAAAATGAAAAGAAAATGCAAACGTCACATTAAACAAAGGAAACTCAGCCGAACTGTTAAGTAGCGCTCCTATCTCTTTAAATGCATGGTTTGGATCTCTTAATGAGTGTGGTTCTGTTAAAGCAGTCGTCCCCAACTGGTACTGGGCCGCACAAGAAATGATTACATATTTCTGTTTTAAGTATTACCTTGAGTGTGGAGGATCTTTTATTTTGAAAATCCTCTGACTGGATCCTCTAATTTACGTCTTACGCGCCAACATTGAGCCCACAAGCAGAAAAACGAGTAAGAAACAGATCAGATGTCTTTGGAAAGTGTCTTTGCAAAGGGAAAAGGCCCAGAGAAGAGACAGCAGAATGGATTCATCCCGGTAGGTGAATCCCAAAGTCCAAGCTGCTCTGCATGATATGGTGACCGGCTCACTTTTGAGGGAATGAAGCCAGTCTGGTTCACACGACACGATTTAAGAATTGTCGGATGATTTTCGAAACCTCTGTGACCACAAAGCTGATAAAAGTAAAACAGGTTAGATCGGTTCATGTGTCCAGAAGCAACACACCATGAACACATGAACTGATTTCACTCACACATCCTGGTTCCAGAAGAAAATCCCACAAAAACAATAGTGATAATTTGTGTACTCATTTTAAGCGACAAAAAGAAAAAAAAACAACAACATTGGATAAATGACTGCAGAGAAGTGCAGCTCTATTTGCTGCACTAAATCAGGCTCAGTTGCGCCACGTCAACTGTTTGGGATTCCCTCCGATCTTACGTCGGAGGGACGTCACAGGTCATCAATCACTTTCTGATTGGCTACCTGTCACGTTCAATAGGCTGCGTTCAATCTCCCAGTCAGGAAAAACCCGATAAAAGGGCCAAGACAATCCAAAATCTTGAATATGCCTGATTTTACATTGTTCTATGATCCAGCAGGATGATGGGTTACGGTTGTTAAGACCTATGTTAGCCGAGTTTCTACACTCTGTCGTAAATCATATTATGTATGATTTGTTCATCCTTTTTATTCACTAAAGTTAATCTGAATAATCCATCCGACTCCGTTTAATCTTGGAATTAGTCGAATATACAATATCTCTGTGAGACAGAAGCTCAGAAAAGTGCAGCTCTGAGGAGGAGCTTCGTCCTGAAAGGCAGCGCAAGGTTCAAGCAGGCATTTTGCACAGCTGAATGGTTGCCATGGAGATAAACATATGTCTCGCACATGCATAAAAGACTCAAGACTCATAAAAGACTTATTGTTGCGTACTCATTTTAAGCGATTAAAAGCTAGCAAAAACAAAATAAATAAATAAATAACATTGTATAATGTTATTTTTGAAGAGAAAATAACATTATGACATGATGTAAAGCTCAAAAAGTCAACTTTAAATAATACTGCCCCCTTAATAAAGAGTAATCATGCCTTTAATCATAAAAAACACGTTTTGTTTTTCAAATTTATGACTTCTGAACCTCTGAAAGTCCAAATATCGCTTTTAAATATGTGATATAGAAGTAAAAATGTGACAACTGTTTGCCAGAAATCAAATCCCCCCCAAAAAAAGCTTATTTCTGAAATAAAGGAGGATGTACTGTAGTTTGCTTTTAGCAGGAAAGTCCCAGCAGATTGACTATGAAGAGCCAGTCATTTCCAGTCTCCCTTGAACCTCACCTTTTCCATGAACGTGTTTAGCTCTGGGACTGCTTGATCTGTTCCCTTCTTCAGCTGCTTCTTAGCTTTGTTCACATCCTTCTCCACCCTCTTCCAATCCACCTGGATGTAGCCGCTGTTATTGGCTATCTGAAAGCAGAGTCGGGCCAATGAAACCGAACGGAGAGCTTGAAATGTTCCAAGACAAACAGAGGCGCAACGATACCTGCAGCAACAGAAGACCTCCACCTACGGATGTGGCAGCAACCTTCCCCACCTTCTGGAAGAGATAACCTGCGCACCTAAAGCCAAACGTACACAACAGCAAGGGAGTTGAAATGAAATGAGAGTTTCTACCTCAGAAAGAAATGTGAAACAGCTTCGCATTTGTTCATTTGGAAACGAAAGCTTCTTCTCCATTGGCAGGTCACAGTCTAGCCGGTTAACGTCTGGTTTGGGTCTAGCAAAGTTTGGTGTATCTCCAATTGGTGTGTGGGCGTGAATATGGGCAGGAAGTGCATATTAAAAACATATGTATATGTTAAAACAAAAGTTACATACTGCAGCTTTAAGAGATTAGTTGTCTCTTAAAGATGTTGTAAAGCCTATATTTAAAAAAGCATGTGATCCACTGCTTGTCTGGAAGGGGGACAAAATTCATTCATTACATTAACGCCATTAGAATTTTATTTAAATTTATTAAACAAATTCAGTGGACTGTTTCCCCCCACACACACACACGTTTTGTACCAGATGAGCAGTGCGGATAACACGCGGGACCTGAAGGCAGCACGGTACGTTAGAAAGGTAAATATTTACCATCCACTCACTCCTCCTATTGCGATCTGTGTGGCCACGGAGTACTTCTCCGCTACGGGCCCGGAGTTCTTCCCGAATAGGCGGTTCCACCATCGCTGCCGCTTGGCGTACTCCGTCAGATCCACGACCTTGTCGTAAATTTCCTCTTCGACATCTTTATGTGGAAAACACACACAGTTAGCATCAGGTAGGAAAGAGTAGCTACTTCATGCAGCTCCCTGGGTGCTGTTATTCAGACGAGGCAAAGTGAATTAGCTCGAATGCTACAGTCAGAACGATGTGAGGTAAACAGACAGGAAGGCTGCTTTCTGAACTCTGGAAGTTCTCCGGCCTGAGGAGGGTAGCGTTAGCTTCAGACCGGTGGAGCGCGCAGCTGTGGAACAAAAAAGTTACTGCGGCAGGAAACATGGCTTCCACCGTGTACAACTGGACGACAACACACTTGGGAAATGTTGGAGTGACGCTCGGAGAACGTCTTCGAGTTTAGCTACAGACACCAAGAGCGTTTGTTTCAGCAGACGCGCTTACCCTTGTTGCGGTTCGCCATTTTGAAGTGCGCTGGGCTGTCCCCCAGATTCCTGCGCGTCCGCCGTCATTTGCATAAATTGGACGGAGAAAAGGAAGAAGTCTCTCTGCGTGTCCACAGAGACATGTCCTCTATCACACGAAGCGGAATGGAAATAGCTTGGCTTGACTTACTGAGGCAATATACAAGGTACATACAGAACGGCTCAGCCCCACTGGAAACATATTATTCTGACTTTTATCTCAGAATTTTTTCTGCTTTTTTTTTTTTGAAAGTCCTTTTTTGTCGGCCATATGGTCCTCTTCCTTACAAGTTACAACACAGTAAATAGCAGATGGGAAAAAGAAGAACATTTTATAGAATCTATTGAGTATGTTTTCCATGTTACCAATGAGTCCTTTATTGTTTTGTGAGAACACAAAGGCAGAGGTGTATTCACAACATCATTAAATAAACAAGGTCATTCAGACAGAGAGCCTTTTTTCTTTCTTTTAAATTTTTTTTAAAGCCACTTCTTTTTTCAGATCTCCATATTTATTCTTTGGATGAATTCAGCCATCCGTGAACCTTTAACTTTCAAATATACATCACATCATGAAAATCTATTTCAGATATAGCCAATGTAATCTGGAATATCCTTCGTTATAAACAGTAAACACTTATTAGGATGACCTGGTCATA